GGGGTGGAAGGCGAGCAATGGAAATTAATTTGCCGAGGCGATTGCTAAATGCTCTTCCGCCTCTGGTTTACAGTTTAAAATAGATAGTTGGCTTTATCGGACGTATATTTATCGAAGATCCTCTTTCAAATCTAATTCGGAAGTTGCGTTACAGCCAAAAAATTGTCATTACATATCGGTAGGCGTAAGAACGTCGTCGATGAAAAAGCGAAACGCAACGACGCTGAACGTCTTGGCGCTGATATTATTTCAAATCACCGAGACGTCTGCCGGATTTTTAAAGAACGACCACTTTGTGTCACTACGTGCCTCAAGTGAGTGAGACGAGGTTGTCGTCGTCGTCGTCTACATCTACGTCTATGTCTACGTCGGTGTAGGACGTTGAGAGGAGGCCATAGGCGTCCAGACGGCGACGTCGTCGCCGGCGCCGAGCGCCGTGCTAACTAGCACCCCTAGCGCACACACCCACGCCTTTATTAAACGTCGCCCGTCGGCTCGCCGTATATGTTTCCCCTCATAAAATTGAACATGGCGTACATACCTATACGCGTGAAAGAGCTCGAAAGGGAGGCCGGAGAAACGGAAAGAGAGCAGGACAGAGAGAAAACGGTCGCTAAATGCAGAACGAAGAAAAGAACGAAACGAAAGGAGAAACGTATGAATTGCGAAAGAACGGAAAGAAACAAAGGAGACAAAATATCGCGTTGTGATTTTTCAATTATAGTTGGAGTTCGTACGGCTGACGTTACAGATATTAGAGAAATTTGGTTCACGACGAGTGATTCGTATCAAATCGATGCATATGAAACATCGTCGGAATTTCCATTGTTTCGTGATCGTACAGTATTTTGAGAATGATATTTCTGGATTTTCGTTGTACACGGCCATACCACCTTTTTCGTGAAAGAAGGAAAGGAGAGAAACGAAATGGGGGAAAAAGAAACGCGTGAAAGATAGAAAAATAATAAAATTCATTTCGTCTCTTACAAAAAAGAGGAAAGAATTACAAATGGCCTGTGAAGAACTAATGTGAAAGAACGAGGCAAGGGGAGAATGCACGAAAGAAACAAAGAAAATAAAATTCTTGTACCCTGAATCAGAATGTATCCGCAGTTTTTGTATTCATAAAATACCTAGAGCGAAGCGTGAATGCGATGGAGAAAGGTGGTGAATTTAAACGAAGGACAAACGGAAAAGACAGAAAGGAATTCAAGGGAAGACGCGAAAGCAGCTAAACGTCGAGTGGCGATACAGACAATTTTATATTGTTCTCTCCAAAATATACGATCACGACGTTCTTTTGATATTTCTATTATTCAAAGTATTGGTAGAAAGGCAAATTTTTGGCCGATGGTACATATATCCTCCATTTAACACGGTACCTCGGTCGATCCGATTCGATTATTAAAAGAATACCTTTCCTTCCAACGTTCTAGATTTACGTCCTCTAACAGAGAGCAAATCGTCCCTCTAAAACGGCAGCAGCAATTTCCATGGACACTTCGGACATAGGAGAACGATGATGCAACCGTGTTCGTTGGGAGGAAAGTAAAAGAGGAAGGAAGAAAGAAGGAGGGTAAAAAAAAAGTTACCGTAGACGGAACATCATATAACGACAGAAATACAGAGGATAAAAATAAAAAGACAAAAAATGGAAGGGAGAACCGAAGGCAGGATGAACGAGGGAGAGTGTGAAAGAAACGGGAAAGAGGGTGACTATAGGGTAGATGCACAAGAGGAGGAGGAAGAGGAGGAGGAGGAGGAGAAGGGGATTAAAGTGATCTGGCGAGAATCAGGGCGGAAAGACAACGTGAGTTACAGGATTTATTAGATCCCTGTCTCGAAGTCTTTTAATTACGATGGGATAACGTGACAAAAAGCAAAATTATATATATTTCCAGGAAGGGGTGCGGATAAGAAATAACGTTAACCATTAACGAGTAGTTTCGATATCGGTGTTCCGCACCCTTTGGTAATAGTCTGCGCGGGAGCAGAACATTTTAAAGGTGGTAAAGTGGGTATTAAACTGTAGATGAAATGGCCAAAGCGAAGATAAGAGACAGAGATGGTGCAAGAATTCATGGTACAGCAAATGAAACGAGGCATAAATACGGTTTATTTTTCAACCGCCTGCTATTCACACTCTTATTGCCTTCGATGCGGTGCGAGGGACGCGATCGGACAGAGATCGGGTGCGTTTTTAAGAATAAATTACGCGTAACTATATTCGCAGTGTGCGTAAAATGATTGCTAGACTATTGTTGGCCTTTTCTGTCGATCGCGTGATAAATTTAACATTTAATATAGAAGTATGTCAATGTGAAAATGTGAAAATTGCCTCTGAACAAAGATACGAATACGTTCAAATTCCAAATAACTTTTGAGAATGACACCACTAATCACTCGATATGAAATTTCATGGATCCTTAAACGTCTGCCAAGCGGGAATCGTCGACGATCAATTGCCCGTTCGACAAATTTCCTCGAAAACGAACGAGACGTGCAAATATTGAATTTGCAGGCCACGGATCGCGCCTGAACGGTTGCTCGTGATAAAAAGTTGACCCTCCAATACGTCCCTTTATCCGGACAAGGTACGCTTTACACGAGCAAGAATATATACATCTTAATAGGAATAGAGGTAGAGGGTGAACTCTCGTGCAAAATTTATTAAAACCCTCCATCCTCTCTCTCTCTTACCCCGTCTGGTTAACCGTTCAGAAAGCGGCAAGCGTACGTGAATTAAAGGCAATGACGACACGACGTACATGTCCTATACCTGTTGTGTCAAAGGAACCATCCAATGTGGGGTTAACACGGTTAGATCCCGTCCCCTGGAAGTCGCTCGAGGGTAATTAAAAAGAATGACCACGAACAGCCTGACTAAATTGAGAATTCGGTAGCGAAAGTGCCTCGTGAAATCGCGCAAACGCTGATCGATCCACAACTGTATGTGGGACAATCGTTCTTCTTTTGGGTTCAACGTCCATTTCTAAAGTATTATGACACGTCGAAATCTATTCGAGAAGAATATCTTAATAACTATAGCACGAACAACTTGAATACGTTTTACCGGTTCGCTTTTACTCACGGATTCCTAAATTACTATAATAAAATACATTTATTTGGCATATTTCAAGCAATTGCAGTTGCCCGTTATTACTAAAACAGGATTATAAAAGAAATATTTAAAACACGCGAAGCTTAAAATCATCGAAATAAATTTATTTTAATTCAATAAAAACCACCCTATTTTAAATAAAATTCAAACGTGAAACGAGCTAAACCAGAGCGGATGATATTTCTTAATATACGGCATGCCATCGAATTATTATTTATAGTGAGAGATTATGCTCAAAATTTTCATGCTAGAACAAATCAAAATAAGTAGAAAGAAATTTTTCATCGCAATTCCACGACATGCGGGTCTCTATGCTTCCTGAAGCGCTTCGTTCGTTGTCTAAAACCAAATTTCACATGCAAAACGCAGCTTTTTAACTGTAAAATATCGCGACAGCCATAAAATAGGACGAATCATAATTTTTTTTATTGAGATTAAAAATTTTTTTATTTAACAACCGAAACTCATTTACTAGTTTTTAATTCTTCGTGCTAAAAAATCGTGCATAGATACACCTATAGTTATAAGAAAGTATATATGTTCTAGGTATACGTTCTTAATAAAAAATTACAAATTAAAAAAACTAGAAAAGCAATTAACTATTTTTGTTACTCGCCTATTAGTCGGGAATATTTTTTCACAATTTATCTCTATATGATGACAATATTATAGCACGCAGAGACAATAGTACGTTAAATAAACATCTACGTATTAAATGAATGGCAAATGTGATGAAAAGTGGAGATATGTTATATTATGCAACATGCTTTATCCAAATAACAAATAATACCCGCAAACACAATCTTCTATCTCGAAGTATCTTATATTTGGGAAAATTTTAGTAGCAAATGTATTTTAATTCCTCTTAACAGTTGCATAATAATAAATTATAATTGTATGGTAATTATTGAAACGAAATTACCAGAATCGTCTGTCCTTGTCGATACCAACATTAAATTAACAATTTCCCTGCTACTAAGTTGCGCTAGCTCAACTGAATATCATAACCTCTCTTTTTCAAAATGAAATTTCGAAACGTTCTATTGTATAATAGATATACAAATATCTTGATTCAAGAAACCAAAAGATATGCGGGTCATAGCAAATGGCAAAACATTAAAGCTACGAAACAAGAACATGATACCGCAAGAGCACAAATATTTAATACTCTATCACATAAAATGAAAGCTGTAGCAATAGGTATGTTTCTGACATTTGAAAAAAGTACTTAAAAAATTTCTTTACATATCTAGTCAAAGTTTTAAGTGAATATCTTTAGATTTAAATTACTATATATATTTTGTTTTTTTGTTGAAGAAAGTGGCAACTCAGACCCAAACACTAATCCAAAATTAGCAAATTTAGTCGAACAAGCAAGAAAAGCCAACATGCCAATGTCTACGTTAAAAGGAATTTTGGAAAAAATAAAAAATGTACGAACTGGTGAAAGTCATATACTGCCTATGCGTATTATGAAAGGACCTACACTTGCTATCCATATTTTAACCGACAAACTTACTTATGTAAAAGCTAATATTGTGCATATATCAAAAAAATTTAAGTGAGTACTCTTTTATAATTTAATCTAGAATTTTCCTTCCGAGATGTACATTTACTTTGTTACAATGTCAAATTATGTTAACTCATATGTATATAATTTCTAGTGCCAAAGTTATAGAGCCTTCGACATTTTCACATTTGTTCGATAGTGTAACTTTCGTTATAGCTTCTAAAGACTGTAACTTGGATTCTGCAATGGAAGATGCAATAATAGCTAATGCGATAGATGTAGAAGAAATAAAGGATGAAAGTGGAACGTATTTTAAGGTACTAAAATATAAATCCTTTTATTCCAACAATTTAAATTTAATCAAACGGATTTCTATTTTCATACAATGTATCTTTATTTTTATTTGTTATAGTTTAAAAGTGAATTTCTTCATCCAGAAAAAGTTATAACGCAATTAAAAATTCTAGGGTATACTATACTTTCAACAGAAAATAAATGTATACCTACTGGTACAGTTCAAGTAACTGAAGAAGAATTATTAAATATAAATAAATTTAAACAAAAACTTACTTTAGAAATAAGGGAAATTGTAAAAATAGAAGATAACATTGCATCCCTGTAAATATATACGTAATATGCGTATATGTATAATGTATATGCATACACATATATATAAAGATAGTTATCAATAATTACATTATAAATAAAAATATAAATAAAAGAAATTCTGCACATTTGCAGAAATATGTTACTTTGGATAAACATCGTTATAGCTGATCATTTAAATGTCTTGTATATATTATGCACAAAATATTAGAAACACGTTTACAATTTTTTTACACTTTAATGTTGATCAGCTCCATATCCTTTTATTTCATGCATGTTAGAACCTGGAAAATCTAAGATCGACTTTGAGTAAAATAGAGACATCAATACCTTCTTTGTCATTCTGGATCTTTGATTACAAGGCCTAGATGAAGTATTAGATCTTCTGTTATTCAACTTCTTCGAACGTGTATTTGTAAATATCTTATCCCTTCGTTTCACAAATTTTTTACCATCTATGGAATAATTTGCAGATTTATCTATAAATTTTTTGTCTTTCTCTGGTTTTTCTGTTTCACTTTCATTCATATTTTTCGTATTTTCCTTATCTGAAACTTCCTTTTCGTCTTTTATATCGTTTGGTACATTTGTTGTAGAACTAAGATCATTTACATTGTCATTCTTTCTAGATTTCTTTTTTCCTGCCTTTGCAGTTTCTAATTCTGTTTTCTCTGCTTTTACATTTTCCAGTTCAACTTCAATTTCAGTTATATCCTCGTCTTTTTCAAAGTTTGGCTCGGTATATCTCTCTTTATTTTTCTTCTTCTTTTTCTTTTTGCTTTTAGAAATATTTTCTTGAGTTTCATCAATTTTGCACTCTTCTTCTTTAAGTATTACATTTGTGTTTGCCCCTGTTTCTTTTTCCATACTTTCTTTTTCATCGCATCTATTCTCAGTGGTAACTTGTATTTTATCTTTATACTTTTTCCTTTTTTTCTTCTTACTCGAAACATCTTCAAGTATAGAATCATCAGGTATGTAATCTTCCATTTTGGTTTGCTCGATCTCTGTTTCATTTTCACATGCTTTCTCTTCTTCTGGCGTTTCTACTATTGTTTCTAAATTCGATCGACTTCTTTTTCTTTTTTTAGATTTTTTACTTTTATGTTCATTAACTTCATTATCACGTACTTCCTCGGGTGTTCCTACATCCAAAGCTTCATTAACACAACCAGATAACACTGAACTATTAACATCAGAGTTATATTTTTTCTTCTTTTTAGCTTTCTTATTTTCAACCTCAAATTTGTCTAATGTTTTTTTTGTTTTTACACAATCAGTACTATATTCTACATGATCGTTAAATGTTACTCTTTTCTTATCATTTATTTCATCGCTTAGATCTAAAGCTGAATTTGTAAGGCCAAATTGTACTCTAGATATTTCAAATTCTTTTCCATTACAAACTTCATCAGCTTGACATTCTAAATTTAAGCCGGCATTGATAATACCACTCTCACACCTTTTTTCATTTACATTGTTCTCTTTAAATTTCTTAACCTTGCTGCTTGAACGTAATTCATTGTCATCAAGTTTTTTTTTCTTAGAAAATTTAGATTCAATATTAAAATTTGAAATATTTTCAGGGCTATTTAATTCCACACAGGGATTTTCAAACGCATAATTACAAACACTTTTAACTTCCATGCTTTCCTTATTATCATGGCATTTTACTTTTCTAGATGTTGATGCAAATCCAAATCCAGCATATTCAGATTCCTCTTCTATATCGTCCTCCTGTTGTTTTTTATTCTTATATGCCAGAGAAAAATCCTGACCTTTCTTCATAAAATATTCTGCCATATTACCACCATTTATAGTAACAATACCGTTTCTGTTATCACAAGCGCCAATTGAATCAAAGTTTTCTTCGGCATTGCCTTGTTTATCTTTATTACTTTTATTTATATTCAATTCTTTTTGGCCAAATATATTTGCTAAATCCTTTGAACTATATTTATTTACATCTTTCCCCCTTGTAAATTTTTGATAACTAGTAATAGTAATAAGAGAAAAAAAGACAAGAAGAGAATAAAATAATGGTACGTCTAATACATTATATGTACATAAATAATACTTACTGAACACGAGCACGGCTTTGTTTAGATTTCAATTCTAACGATTTTCCACTTAATACACCTTTGCTTTCCTCTGTTTGCGCTACATTGTGACATTCATTTTGTCGAAGCTGCTGTAAAAAGTCGTTAAAGCTATCTTGATGCTCCGTCCATGCTTCGTCTAAGGCATCCTGTTTATATCCAATACCTATGGGAACAATCCATTTTTCATTAATGTTTCTCGATATAACTAATATCGCAACTATCTAGATAATGACAAATTATATTAAAAACATTAGAAATTAGAATATTAAGAGAAAGGCAGCAATTTCATTTCACTTTAACAATTTTGATTTCCTTAAAGTTTTGCAATTTCGTTTCTAGGTTAATTCTAGATCATTGGAATTAAATTCAAAATAGTTAAAATACGAATTAGTGACGATAAGCAGAGTTAATGTAAAAATCTAATTGTTAATTATATTTACCTGTTGTATCATTTTTAACCGATACACGCACGTGCTCCGTTATACCTTGTTCGTTTGCTCCGAGTCCTTTGCCACTTGTCCATCCCATCTTTTCCAACATTTTCTGCCCGAATTTGTTCGAATCTGCAGAAACATACAAATGTCACTACGATGTTTCGAAGATACAACATTATACTATTTTTTTTAAGTAAAATCGAATAAATTCAAATATTTACAAACCTTCGCTCCATTCTTTTCCTCGTGGGTTTAGTGTCCATTTTTGTTTTCGACGTGGTTCTGCGAGCATAGACATGTTATTTTAAGTTTTAAAGCGATAATAAATTCAAAAATTTGGCATTTGATAAGTATTGCAGGAAGTTTAGTTTACGTTTTCTATTAAATTTAAAAATCGCACAAATATCGTGTCAAACGATTGCAACATGCGAACGCAACGTTGCCGCAAAATTTGCGGCACTGCTTTGGTTAGGGCGCTCTATTAAAGCGCGTTCATAGTGGCATTTAAATTCAAACTTCAAAAATGGTGTAATTCTTTCGAACTCTATTGGTTATATGCTAATTTACATTCGGAATCTAGTATAATTTTCTTGTATACGTTTTCGTATACAATACAAATAATATTATTGCGTTAGTTATATGAGATTATTGTAAAATTAGTTGTGTCATATCTTTGTTTTTTATTTGCAAAATATTGTAATGTTCCAATTATTTGTATGTTTCTTTATTTTAAGTTTCTCAAAATTCTTTTTTCCGAATAAAGACGCTCTATTTTTATTACCGTAGTAAAGTAGTAGAAGTTGTTATTTCATAAATTGAATAACAACAAAATCTTTTATAATTAGTAACATTAAAAAAATTCACGTAATCTCATATCACAATTACTTCAATTTTACGAAGCTAAATCAGATCTGTGATTACATTGACCTTGACTTTAGATACCGACCACGTCATGGTCGAACTTGCTTAATCTCGCACGTGTTGGCCTCATTAATTCCGATTTGATGAAATTAGTTACGTTTGATGAATGCATTTCGATAAGTTGAGGAAAACGTTTTGGATAAAGGTATCGTGGGACGAGTTTAAAACGAGACACGAGGAAATGACCATGTAACCTTTGCTTCTCTTTAACAAAGAGAGAATGAGAGAAAGAGAGAGATTTTCCGTATCTATCAAACTAAAATGATTTATTCGATTGTTTGTTTGTTTTTTTTACCCAAAATTATGAAATTTTTTAATGATAACGATAAAATGTAAATTTTTAACGAAGGGTCAAATTACTGCTATTTATTATCATTATCATTTTGTTTACATTTCTATCAAATTTACAATTAAAAAGGCAACTCCGTAGGAAAACAACTTATCCCCTGAATGATAAAAAGCAGAAATAATCTTTTAGTTCTAGTGCAGCGTCAAAATAGAAAACGATGTACATAAATAGCTAATTATATATGATCTTGAATGTAAATAGCTAAACGTTTAACAGCTATTTTCCCCTTCGGAGGGGAATTATCTATTTAGTTAACAAGAGGATAATGACTTCAGTTGTCAATTAAATAGGTTTACGTGAATTTGGACTTTAAAAGAGGAAATGATTGCAGCGATGAACGATACTTCTATATTTAAATGTTGTCTTTTGAGTTGACTGTGTTATTTGTTTTAGGCTAATGGAGAGATGGAAAGGATTAAAGTTCAAAACAGTTACAATATAAATATGTATCGTCATATAATCTACGAAGCATTATCGTTATCGCAACGATAACAAGACAGAGGAAGATTCCTGAGCTTTTCTTTTATCTTTTGTCGTCTTTTCTCCGAATTTTCCGAATATTTTCCATCAGTTGGAATTAGGAATCCGTTTCGGCAACGCATACTACAGCGCAGACAAGTTATCTTGTCCGTTGTTGAACCGTCATTATCTGGGAGCAGAGGGACGGAGGCTGATAAAGGCCATCATCCGTTTGGCAAGTAAACTCCCGTCTACTTTCCATTCTCGCTCGTGTTTCCGTTTCGAAGGTCTGCTCGTTGCTTCGTCGTCACTTTTACACTGTACACCGTTCGCTTCTCGCTCTTTCTGCATTTCAATTCGGTTGGAAGAATCGTATGGTGTGGTTATACGCTGTGGTGCGACTGAAATAATTCTTTCTTCGGGTTACCCTGGTGATTTGTATTTATCGGTAAAGTAATTTGAATTTGAATTTGTTAGTTTTGGCAGAATGTAAATTATTATTTGTCGCTATTCGTGCTGATAGTGTCGTAATTTTACTTTTAATTTGCAAATAAATATCGAATTACAGAGAAGTTCGTCGAAGGGGTTGAAGCGATTCTTGGACCCATTGTGTGTGACGATCTGGATTTGATATCGAGTACTGTGAATCGTTTTGAGCGTTTTTGCTTTTAGTGAAGTTGGTATTTAAAGAAATAATTAACATTTGAAGACAACATTTCTCTAACTTGTTTTTGAGTGGCTTCCTCTGGAAGCCGAGTAGATCTCCGCTTTCGTATTTTAGGTATTGCGTGATCAAAGTGATACTGTCTTAAATCTTTCTTTAGCTATTACTATCAATATTAACTAAATATGGTGAATTACTATTATTGCAAATTTTACGTGTTGAAACTTCCATTGAAACTCATTCGAATTAATACATTACAAGGACGTAGTATTTAGTAGTAAACACAGGTTGTCACATACAATAAATATCGAAAGTCGGAAACGCACAACCGAGCAAAAAATTAGAGTTACATTTTATTTCGTTCTCCTATGGTACAGTTTCGATCGAAACCTTATTTATTTGAAAGATCCTAGAAATGCATTAATGGCACATCATCGATTAACTCTGAACTCTTTCTATTCCTTCGTATTTGCAACAAAATTATTTCAAGAAACAAGAATCGCCAAGCCAATACTATCTAACATAATTTAAGCCATTCTTTTACAAACAAGCCCTTTCAAATAATTTAACAAATGACATTGCAAAGACACTTAAACCGTGACACTTATACCGTGTCAGCGGCCGAATGCTACCAGCACGAATACACAGGTGACAAACGAGTTTCACCATTTCTTCCTTCGAGCTTCGCTCCAGAGGGAGTGGAAGTGGCGATCCGTATCGTAGGGAAACATGTTTGGCCACATAAAAAAGTTGGCACTTTTATTTTCCTCGTCCACGATTAACCGACCGACAGTGTCTACTTGCAGTCGAATCGTGAAACAAGAACAGATACTGGTTCGCCAACCGAAACTTGCGTAAGTGAAGAAATGGATGCGATCAAACCTGGATGGTTCAGTGAAATTAACAACGATCTGTGGCCAGGTGTTTCATTGTCTCTCGAGGTCCTCGACGTAATTCATCGAGAACGATCGGAGTATCAAGAAGTGATGGTGATCGACACGTAAATATTCTACTATTTCTATTTTCTTTAAACGTAAAAGATATCGATTTTTCATTGGAAAAATAATTGGAGAAAACTAAATATGCGTTGGAGGTTTATGACACTTGGATCCCTACGTTATAACAGTTAGGTCGAAGAGGAAATCGACTTTTTATACTTTACCATTGGACGACAGTAGCAAAGTATTTTTTATAAACGAGTATTTTTTAAAAACGAGCGGAACAAGTTTTCTTTAATCTTTCTTTCTTATCGAGTCTCACAGTTACTTTTGAGTGATTTTTAACAGTTGGTTTTGAGAACATTTTTTTATTAATATAGTAAAAAACATCGAGGGGCAGGCACGACACAGCTGTTAAGGAAGGTAGAAGCAAGAAAACAAATAAGATGGTCTTCAACTTAGAGTTTCCTTTAAACGATACGAAAAAGCTAATAATAACGCCGTATCGTCGTGTTATTTTTAAGACCGATATTTTTTATTTACAAAAATACGAACGATTACTATCATAATTTAGTTGTATCAATGCTTTTTATGGTGTAATTCAGTCTTAGAAGTTTATCTTTCGTAAGTTACGATATATCTAATCTCTCTCTTATACGAAATATATAATTCTCTTGATAACTGTTGCCGTAACACGGTGCTTTTTACTTCTATTATTTCTCACAACTTGGTATTAACGCAAAGAGCGAAAAAATATATGTAAAAAATGTATAAATCTACTGATCTAGCGAAATATGTCAGATTCTAAGAAGAGAAAAGAAAGCGCAAAAAGCAGAAAGGAACTAAACTTCCGATAAGTTAGTCGTTCGCTGTTGTTTCAAAAGGAATTTGTTTTAATTGCACGTATACAGGAAATCGCACGGAAGGACCCTAATTTTAGATGGTATCATACAATGCACGGAGAAAGACGAATTTTCGTATCAGGAGATGATCGCGTTTCTACCGTTGTGCAGCCATCCAAATCCGAAAACTGTAAGATCTTGCATACGTTAAATATTTTGAAAAATGTTATAGTTATTGAAAAGGTATCATATTTTGTATTCATATCTCTTCCTGCTTCGATTATTTCCTTGTCAGGTGTTAATAGTTGGAGGTGGTGACGGCGGGGTTGCTCGTGAAGTTGCGAAACATCCGCTAGTAGAACGAATCGTGCAAGTCGAAATCGACTCGAAAGTACTAGAGGTATCCAGAAAGTATTTGCCTACGATGGGTGTGGGACTCGATCATCCTAAAGTCACCCTTAACGTGGGCGATGGTTTCCAGTTCCTGCAGCGACACATTGGAGAATTTGACGTTATAATTACTGATAGTAGCGATCCTATCGGTAAGTAAACTTTTGTTAATTACAGTTCGTTTCTTGATACATTTAGATTTTGATCGATAGTATAACATACTTTGATCCAGTTTTATTAATGGAAAATGTACAATAGGAGTATTTTCTTACGTGTAATGAAATGAGGTAATAAAATGTTTACGAATGTAGGTCCAGCAGAGTGCCTATTCCACGAATCGTACTTCAATTTAATGAAAAATGCGTTGAAACCTGGTGGAATCGTTTGCAGCCAAGCGGGTACTGCATGGTTGAATCTCAGCCATGTGACACAAACTTTGCAACATTGCAAGTCCTTATTTGCGGTTGCGACTTATGGTATTGTTTCCGTGCCTACCTACCCCACAGGGCAAATTGGATTCGTGCTTGGAGGATTAAACCCTGTAAGTACATTCTTTAATTTTTCTCTTCTTCTTTTCGTTAGTCCTTCTACGTAAACAGACAAATAAAAAGATAAATACATCTTCAGGAAACGAACTTCAAAGAACCGAAGAAAGTTTTCAGTCACAGCGAACTCGATGAAATGAACATGAAGTATTATGACGACGATGTGCACCGAGCCGCCTTCATTCTCCCAAGGTTTATAATAAAAGCATTGAACGAAGTCGTGGCTGAAAAATAGTCGTTAAATCTTTTCTCGCAGTTTTTGATACGCCATCGCTACAGACGTGGCGTAGAAATGATCAAGATCTTGTTATATCTATTGAATTCATATTATCGTGTATCATTGTTAACTCGATTCAATTCGATCAAGCTATCAGCCTGAAAAAGAGACTACATAATCCAATAAATTAAAATAGAATGTCCTGTTTAAATCATACGCTTCACACTTTTGTCTTACATGCACATGGAAACATACATTCTTAATGATACATCAACGAAATGTTAGAAATTCTTTATTAATTTCAATGTAAGTAAAGCTAACATATCTATATTTGTGAATGTTCTGCCGTAATATAATTATAATAAAACGATATCCATTATCATAATCATCTCCTAATTGTATGTAGCACACACATGTGTAGCAGCATTATAACTAATGATAAGAATAAATCAATACTAATATAATATAATTAATACAGTATAATATAATATAATATAATATAATATAATATAATATAATATAATAATATAATATGATATTACAATTTGTAACATTCCACGATAAAACTTAATCGATTGTACTAAATATAACGATTAAAAATATCCTGTATATAAATCTGAATCATCAAAAACCAATGAATACAAAGCTTTAAAAACTGTCGATTTTTCTCTCTCGTTGCTCTTTGTTTCTTCTTAATATATTAACGGCACATATATATTTAATATATAATATATGTAGAGAATCTATATATTGTATAATTCCTTTCGTTTATATTTATATCTATACATATAATTTTCTATATATCATGGCACACACCTATAAGTATAATGTATACGTATATAAAATAAAAACACGATTGGCAATCGTTCTGAAAATATATAACACTAAATGCAATAATGTATACATATATATCTGTAGATCCCTTTGCAAGAGTTCGATAATACAAATTTACCTCTTCGCTTGTTTTTTCCTTTTGAAAACGATCTTTTCATGCAAAGGGATTCTTCCTTCATCTTGTCTCCTTTTTCTTTTTTTTTTTTTTTTTTCGTTTTATGATTATACTATCGAACATTAGTAAAGCATCAGTTTTTTTTCTTCTTTTTTTTTGGTAATATTCGAGAATCCTACGAGTTTGCTACGAGCATGTGAAAAAAGCGGTAGCTCATTAGACTCAGGCACTTTTTTTCACCCATTTATCGACTCATTGTCAAGACACTGAATTGTTACGCGAAATATTTAACATCTATGTATTTACAAATTCTTCCTTGACCTTCGAAAGACTAATGATAATTGCACTAATCTATCACTTGGAACAGGTCTGTCCAACCATCGACCTTCCAATCAAAATTTTCTAGGAGCATTTTCACGCTTCAACACCTTGTTTGAGATAATTCTTTTCAAAGTATAATATCATGTTTTTAAGCACTTCCCTTTTTATCGTGTCTACTCTTCTTAATTACATTCTTCGTGTGAAAATTTTTCTTTAGTTTTAGACTGCAATCTTATTTCTATAATAAAGAGTCTCAATAAAGAGCATTAAGCAAGAAATTATTATTAAGAGCTAATGCAAAAGAAATTCATGTTTAGAACAAATAAGGTTACACTAGTTGAGAATTTACGTGTCATATAAAATTCGTAGATAAAATTATGACAAATTTGTAAAAATATATAAAATTATCGAATTCTTACATGTAAAACTTGATCTTTTTTTATACAAATCCACGATTGAAATAAATACTTTGCAATCATTTACTATATCTCAATATTGAAATAATCATACTCGATAGATTACTTCGCTATGACTTTTATGTCAGAAAAAAATAATTACAATAATTCGTATCATTGTAAGGAAACCAAAGATCTTGTTCCTAGTTTCTTATCAAGGATTAAAGATTTAGATTCATTTTATTTGCAATTCTTATTAGCACTTTGCTTTTATATAACGTTGTTGACATTTCTATACAAATTTCATTAGAATATTTACAATCTTGCAACTTCGATGAACCCCTTTAAATGTTGCATTTTAAATTAACTTACGAGTTAATATATACTTCTTCTATTCGAAAAGCTCGATATTTGCAGTAATAAAAATAAATTGCCTACTCCAGAACGTTCCATGACAAAATATTCAATTCAATTTTTATTATGATACAATTGTTGCATGTTCAGCGTACTACTTGGATCTACCTCTCCATGAATCTTTCGCTATTCAATCTTGATGTCAATGAACAGGATCAGTCTATGTACTACTCACGTACAATAAGATTTCGTATTATGTGTTCAAGATCTCGTTCAAAACCTCTGAATTCAGTTGGACAGTCCTGACTCGAAAAGTCTAACGAGCGAAATTATTGAAAACAAGCCACCGCGAGCGAATGGTAAAGAGCGCGCGATACAGAAGAAACGTAAGTTTAAGCAACGATTAGATTCCAGAACGAAAAGAGACGCACTTACAACGATAATGTTAAGAAAAATATTAAGAAGAACGGGAAATATTAAGGATAAAGAGACGGAGACACCATAGGATCAGGCCACATGGTGTCAGAAAGTTAATAAAATTAAATGATATGTTGCTTCTCTTGTTAATCCGTGGTCTTAAACTTAAACTATTATGATAAATTAGATCTAAATTAAATCAGGTATGCGATGGCTATTAATCGCTTGTCAATAAAATCAAAGAATAGAAGAAAGAAACATCGGTTTGAACAAACATCTTTCTTTCTCGCTGGATTTCGTATAATTATCCAATTTTTTATATATATTAAATACGAATACATATTTCGGAGAATGTAGATTCCCCGCCAAATTCTCCTTCAATTATAAATACAAATATTCTTATAAATCTTTCGAATATATTTTCAAAAAGATGTCTCAAAAGATCGAAAACGAATATGTTATCAAAATATTAAGAATCGTCGATGCAAAATGGTGGAAATATATCACGTGCAATTTTTTGTGGCATCGTTCGTATTAGATCGACAGAAATAAGTTCGTGGAAAAGGTGGACGGTTATATTCCAATCAATAGTCATTCTTATAAAGGCTAATTTCGAAAGCACACAGTTAATTCTATCTAAGGGCACTTTTCTACCGTTTCTCATCGCAAAGATTATCATACAAAGATTTTATCACGATTGCTTTTAAAAATAAAAACTAAAACAAGTAAGCTTGTCAATATCTCGAGAAGAATTGTAAAATTTTCAATACGCGCGTGTTTTTTGTTATTTGAACATAAACTCTCACCCCTCTCCCCCTTTTTCTTGAATATATTCCAAATTTATGAACTTAAATTGTAAATTTCAAGATCCTTACTTCTTATTTGATCATCAGGCCCTCATGAATTTTTACTTCTTCGCCAGTTATTCTTCTTCCATATCACGTATTCATATTTTCGCTTCCTATATCAACTCTTTCTTTCCTTCCTATTCTTCCCTATTTTTTTTTTTTTTTTTTTGAAGATTGTCATTTTCGTCCTAGAAGGCAGTCCTTAATTTATTCTCAACTGAGCACGTGCTGATATTGTGTAAACGATCGTTATTGGGTTTTTCGTTGTCTTATCATTATACTAAACATTGTTGTTCATGAATTGACTTGCAAAAGATGTTGCGATCATTACAACATGGTTGCCTCGGTATTATAACTTTCCTTATTGATCTTCCTTTCGATAGAACTGTACTGACCGGATGAACTTTCCATAGTCACCTTCTTTTCGGTAACAAGGTATGGACTGTCTGAAACATACCGTCTATCGTATTGGCTTTCGTTATACTTTTTCTCCACCGACCCATACTGACTTTCCATTGTAGACCGATACTGACTCTCTTTCATTTTCCTTTCTAACGTGCTCTGCGTTGAATAAACCTTTTCCGGGCTAACCAGAGTTTGTCTGTCGGAACTGAGTTGGCCAATATTGTGCGTTGTAGAATGCTGTTGATACGTACTGTAATTCATCTGTGACTGATTGTGAGTTTCATAAGCTCTGGTCTCGTATCTGGTCGTGCTCTCGTAGCCACTCTGTTCGGCATCAGTATCGGTGTCAGCTAAATCTGGACGATTTTTATACTTGGCTTGTCGAATGGCAGTGAGTCTTCCTCTAGCTTCTTCCAGTTCCCTCTCGATGCGAAGGACCTCTGATCTGGCGTTTATCTCCTGAGCGATACCTCCAACCATTCTACGGTTTAGGATCAAAGATCTGTCTTCTTCTTGCTGAATAGCCTGTTGGGCTGCTCGTACTAAATTGTCGGTGGCGCGTTTCACAGCATTTCCAGCTGCTTGCAGACGTTTCGTGCTCTCGCTATCTGGATCAGCTTTTACTTTGCAAGCGACCAATAATTGTGCCGTACTGCTGGCTACCTGTTTCGCGCTGGAAATTAGTTTTTCTTCGGAGCTAACGCCTTGTACCAGAGCGTTTGCAGATTCAACGAGGCTGTGAGTTGCAGCTGCGACCATTCTTGCGGCAGAAATTAGACCTTCGGACCACTGACCATCGTCGGAACTGGTTAGGGGAGTTCGAGAAACCTTTCCTGTTGCGATAAGCTCTCTTTGAGCTGCACTGGCTGCTTTTATAAGAGCCGATGTAGCGGCTGCGATCGATTTGGCTGCTTCTAGGATCATTTCGTCGAAGTTCATATCTTCGTTTGCCTCCTATGAAGTAAAAATGAAAACTTTTGTGGAAGGAGATAACTACAGGATTAATGATTTTTTTTTTTTTTAATTGAATCCAACATTGAATTAGCATATCGGTTGGATGATACGTGTGAATAATCGCCTTACCGTCGGTGGATTTCTGCCGAAGATGTTCCTGACCGCCGTAATAATATGTTTGATTCCTGGTCGATTCTTTCAAAAAACAACCAAGAATATCAAACATATCTTACGGAAATCAGACTGCTTCCTAGCGAACGAAGATTACCGAGACAACATTTAACGTTATGCGTTATTTCTATCGTTTTACAGCTAATAATAAGACAAATTTTTTACTGGACTGAGACGAGATCTACGAGCAAATTCAGATCATACGAGAAATCATTGCCGCTATGAACGGCAACAGTATCGTTCGAAAGACTCACCTGTATACTTCTCCGAGGTCTCAAGCTGGCAAGCTTCTTCGCGGCAGCGTCGATACTGGCTGCAGCACCTAGTAACTCATTTTCTGCAATGACCGTCGGATCATCAGGGTCCACCCAGTCGGTGCCCTTCAGCAATTCAGCCACAGCCACCAATTCGGTAACGCTCTGAGCGATCTTTCTACTAATGGGTGGCAAAGTGTGTTTCGCATCACCAGATCTTGAAGATATTTGTAATATAGCTTGCAACAATTCCCTATAATTAAGAGCGACGTCGTGACCAGCCTGAAGAGTTCTTTCTCTCAATTCAGCTGTTTCTGCGCAATTATACGCTGCTCCTTTACAAATGGTCAGCATGTCGCTGATAGCCTTTCGTCCCATGTTTGCAGCCGCAATTATGTCATCCTGTTTACAACTATTCCCGGCAGCTACAGCTTTGGCGGTTGAAATGGTGATACTCTTAGTGCATCGAACCAGATCTTCGGGTGTCACGTTGATCTTTTGCGTCTCTGGAGTGTTCAAGGCGCGTATTTCTTGAGCTATCGCCTCGATGGTTGATTCCAGAGCCCTGGTGCCACGAGTGTGCTCATCTTCGACAGCTTTCACTGTCTTCAGCAGGGACGTCACGTTGGTTACCATCACCTGAAGACGAAAAGATAAAGCAAATTATTATATGTTCCACTCGCTATTACATGCGACGATCTGGGTACTGTTTCTTCGTACTCATCGTTGAAAATGGATGTAAGAATTATTAATGAATGGATATCTAAAAATCATATAATTTTCATCGCTATTTCTTTCCCTTTTATCGAATATTACCGCGTATTAAGTTGTCAATTACGTGATTTTTAGATTATTGCACTGCGAATGAAATAGAAAATATGTTACGGTGTTAATGCAATTGTTATCACTTGTGTTTTGAATAAAATGATGGCGATGATATGTTCTGCTGCACAAGAACCTTGAGAAAAGTTAACGTTTTCTCTTTAAATATTGTTAGTCAACTTCTAATGCTATAACTAGATAAAATATAACTCTAGATAAAATATTTGAAAAGATATTAAATCAATCGCTGTAAAACGATATTAGAAAATAAGACACGCATAAAACTAATTTCCTTTTCGACAACTTATTTTATCTCTTCGATATCCATCGCAAGATCGTTAAGAATATTTGACCATATTTTCCAGATATTTCACTTTATTTGCATTTATTTCGTACGTCTTATTAATTATCGTTAAAAACTGAAAATCATTACGTCCAAAATCTGAATATCGTTAGAAATAACGAAAAGAAATCTGCTTAGAAATGTTATTATCGTCATATTCTCTTTAACAAACTCTTTTAAATAACATATTAATCTTCGATTAGTCGACGAAGCATTAAAGCACGGTGCTATTAATCATTAATGCACACACGTTTGCAAGTAGAATGTACGTACCTAAAAGTTGCTTTGTTTTAAAAAAAATTTCTGTCCACGGATGAATTAAGATATTCGTGTAAAGGATGTAGTAGCGTAATAGAAATTTGATGATTTATTTCTTTATTACAAAAAAAAATATAGAGAGAAAAAAAATGTATAAAGAAACGATGATGTATGTTACAAAGTATAATAGTAACTCGAGTGAAACACGATACAATTGTTTGCAGAGCAAGAATATCTACAATACGAATGCATGTGAACTAAAAACGTAGCACAGAAGCGCATCACGTGTTACTATTTCTTAATATTATATTAATTAGCATCATATAATGCTATAAATGCTTCGATGTATAGTAACTCGAAAATAAATACTTGAAGAGAAGGAGAACTGTAAAATGCAAATTTGTCGAGAAATTCGTCACCAAGTTCTCTTCGCAGTGAATTAGTATATGGGAAATATTTGTTAATATTGTGCTGTTGGAATTTTTTGAGATATTCATTTTTTTTTCTTTTCTTTTTGTAAAAAGAGTGTAAAAAGAATAACGAGTCTTGTTTTCACCCTTTCGGTACTGTATAGTGAAATATTATCAATTGTTTTCGCTTTTGTCCGCTTATACGCAGATACGTGGTTACAGACGTGATTAAAATTTTTCTTTCTGACCCCGATACGATAATGTACCGAAAAGGTAAACATCAGGTTCATCGAGAACCGAACGAAATAGGTGTAAAAATCAATGCTTCGGCTACATGAGTAACAGCAAATCGGAAGTTCTCTGAGACGGTTGTTCGCTCTCTGAGGCTGAGAGCAGACGTATCAGCTCCTCCTCTTGATCGGACACGAACCATTCGGACTCCGAGCCACCGACGTCACTCAAAGGCATCAGCTGCTGGTGTAGCTGCTGTTCTAACACCTATCCGGATCGGCCAGACCAAAATCGTCAATGAAAGCTCACAATTAAAGTCCACCAAGTTCATGAGAGAAAATGTTTCGCTACTTTTCATCGCGTAAATGTAAATCTTATCGTCAACAAGCCAAGGAAAAAAAAAGAAAAAAAAAACAAAGCCGGATAAGAATATATTCTCTCTGTGGTTGAAGCAAAAATCGGTTCTGCCTCGCTCAGCGATTCTACACACTTTCCATCAAGGGAACATAAAGATCGAGTGTATAGTGTCTCACACACACGAAAAAATGGAACATCGAACGATGTAGGAAAGTGCAAGGTGGACTTTAATAGTTTTTAACAATGAATCTTCGGTCGAGACCGTTTTACCGAATACCTAGTGAGTGACATCATTGACAATTACATATTTTCGATTTACTCTTGTACCTTTTCGTATTTTTTCTATCTTTCTCTCTTTTTAGTCGGTTAGAGGTGAAATGGAAATGTATATCGATTAAAGTCCACCCACAAAATAACGGGAAATTGGTTCGTAATGTTAAGCGTGAAGATCAAATTTAGTATGTTAACGAGTAAAACAACAACAAAGTGCTGTTAGGTCCGTCATAATGAGATTTCGCGCATCCTCCTTCGACTTGTCCTCCAATTAAAGCGATACCTGCTGCGGTTAATATCGTTTAATCAAGCGTTTCCCAACTTAGACTTCTTTAACACCTGAAATTATTGCTCGAGTCGTGCGTTCTAAATCAACACCGATAAAAAGGAGATTCGCTACTTCAATGTATACTTTGAACAATTTTTGTGAAAATTTTCATAGAAATGTAAAATTCTGCAGGTCCAATGGCTCGGAATACATATAATACTTGTGATTCGTTTCAATTTGAAATGTCTGATTTTATACTAATTGGGAAATCAAGATCGAACATCGTTTAGTCACATATTATTAGTCGCATACACGTATCCTTCATAAAGCTCTACTTCCTGATGTATCCTAGACGCTGCCATTCTGTTATAAACGTTACCATTACCTCTCCAACTCAAGCGTCTCTCCGAGACAAAGTTAATATCAAGCTACTAACACTAAGAGGGAATCCCCTGACCATCGGCAAAACGCCGACGTAATTACGAATAAAGCAACAAGAATAGGAACGATTCACCTTACCTTGGCAGAGTCCTTTAAATGGGCCATGCTGGGGTCGTTGATAGGTTTGCCACTGGCTGCTTTAGTGGCGTGTATCAAGTCGCCGAGTGCAGAAGCCACATCTTTTACCGCGTTTATTAGCATTACTTGAGCCTCGGGATTCTGACTGCCCAAGCTGGCAGCCCCGTATTTAACCACCTCGGCAAGTTGAACGATAGTCGACACGGCATTTTGCGCTGCAACCGCCAGTTGCTCTTGAGACGAGGCTGCTCCAGCTACTAGCGTTTTCGTATCTTCAACGAGAGCCTTGGCTGTCTTCAAGATGTTCTCTCGATGATCGGCAAAAGTGTCGCCTTCGTTTTCTGCGTGCAAGGTTCCAGCAGTGGCGAACATGATCGTGGTGTCCAGGTCACCGATAATGCCTGACACGGTACTTGCAGCGTTGATACAAGCTTGAGTTCCCCTGGAACCAGCCTGAAGCGCAGCTAACACCTGAGATACCTTTTCCGTGACTATCTTGCTGTGCTCTGCGACTTCTCTTTGAGTGTAAGCGTCGCCTGGTGACATTTGGCAGGTTCCTGCAGCTCTAACGATGTCTACGCAGGCTTTGCCAAGCTCTTGGACGCTTGCGCGAAGTCTCGCAGACACGTCAGCGTTGGATGCGGCCGCTGAAGCGCCGGACGTATCGCGGGCTAGCTGAGTGTACTTGTGGGAGATATCCACTATAAGGGGACTTAGTCTGGCTACGTCGGTGCTAGATTTTGTTGACTGAAATGGATAAAGATTGAGATAAATTAAACGTAAGATACGTTAATGATCTTCGTACTAATCATTTCTTTCCTTTAACTAGACGTCACTAGATTCCTAATACTAACAAAATATTATAACTATTCCTTACCATTTCCTGCGCCAGCCGAGCGATCTCCTTAGCAGCTTCCACCATTCTCGTTTGATAATCCACGTAAGAATCCACTGTATCGATCGTAGACATTCTGTGATCTTCCAATCTAACCATGGCTCGAGAAATAGCGTCGATTAGCCCAGTAACGATTCCATAAGATGTCGAAATTGTCTCCAAAGTGTTTTGTAATTCCTGCAGCGCATCTTTCATGGATTCCACTGTCTCGTCAACTTCAGTGTGCAGATTAACTGCCTTCGGATTACCACCAGATTCTTTTGTCACGCAGACAAGCTGTAGAGCAGACTCGGTGACGGTTTTCGTCTGATCCAGTAGCACTATCTGTTGTTTCGAGTGCACCATGTTTGAAGCAGCACCGATAGCACCAGAAACTAGAGGCTCGCAGTACAAAGCAATCTGATTGACGGCATGTCCTACGTTTTCAGCCTCGTATTTGGCAGCTGTTCGAAGAGGTTCCAATTTTTCTCGTAACTCGCTAGCACTGGTCTCCATCTGATCCGTGAATCCTTGCATCGTATTCTCTCTTCGTGAAACCAGTGCCTGTGAAACAGCACTGAAAGACGCGGCATTCAGTTCTCGAATTCTAGCTGATAGTTTCTCGATCGCAACGTCGCATTCCTTCTGCCCAGGTGCTTTGTCGCGTATGGAAGCGACTAGAGACTTGATCGAATCGCTCACGCTCTTGCTGTGGTTTGCCAATAATTGCCAAGTTGGAGGATCTTTTGGACTGACAGCGAGACTCTTGGCGGCTCGCACCATCGCGCAAGAACCATCGATAATAGCTTTACCGGCACTAGTTATTGGCTCTTGGGCAGCTCTAGCTGTGACGGATATCTTTGCAGGCTGACTAGCGAATTCTGGAGATCCAGCAAACGTACACAGGTTGTCAACCGCTTCCAAAAGTGGCCTGGTAGCCTCCGCACACTTCGCCTTGTTGGCCTCGGAATAATTCTGATCCAGCGCCTTGATTTCTTTCACCAGGACTGATGTGGAATTGGCAACATCCTTGGCTGACTGAACGAAGTGACGTTTAGCAACAGGATTGCTGGTCTTGTTCGATGCTTCGCGACAAGCATTGCAGAGAGCACTCGTATACTTTGCTATCATGGTAGCAGCTGAAAGGACTTGTTGTTCGGTACTTGTAGGATTTCCAAGACTTTGACAGCCGGTATGAATGGCCTGTGCAGCTCTGAGGAACTGAGCTTGGTCCAGCAAGCCTGGTTTTCCAGCCACCGATGTTGGATCGCTTACGCCAGCTAGATAAGCAGCCTGAGCTGCTGCTTCTATCAATCCGCAAATTGACAAAGAGACCCCTCTAACTGCTACCGAGAATTGTTCGTGTTCTGATTTCTTTGCGTGGTTAGCTATGCCCGTCATTCCGTCGCCAAGGCTCTTGCTCTTTTCCATCACGGTTTCTAGACATTCGAAGTAGCTCGCGTCAGAAATTGGTTGGCTAGGATTATCGAGAAGCGATCTCATCGATTGGATATTTCTGATAGCGTTGTCACACTCGTTTTGTCCAGGCGCAGCCGAGGTACAGACATCGACGAGATAGTTGATGGAATCTGTGACGGCTC